TTTCCCCAGGGATCAAGTATAACTGGTCATTTGAGTATGATCCCAAGATTACATAAAAACTGCAAAGCACTTTATCACATCCCTACTGAGTTCCAGAATTCCATTTATTTCACAAGACTAGATTTTGTTTAAAAAAAAAAAAATCATCAAATCTCATAATGGAAAAAAAAAATAACTGCAATACCTCTAAGTGGTTAAAAAAAAATGGGTTGAGATGGCTCAAAAGCTGGAGCACTGCATGTAGGAGGTCAAGGTTTCACTCCCAGCACCTAATGCTTCCTTGCGCACTACTGACAACTACCCCTGCATAGAAAGCTCCTAAGCACTGGAGCGTGCTGTCCCCAACTCCCAACAGAACAAATGTAGAGGGAGCCAAGAATACTAAGGGTTTTGAGCTAGCCCTTATATTCATTTGCATAGTAAAGAAGATTAGTGCTAAATTTCCTAACTGCACTCTCATTCTGTTTTTTCTACTTCCTCTCTCCCCAACTTTATTATATGTGGACAGAAACAAAGCTTCAAGAAATTTCAGTCTAAATGGCTGAATATAAACTTTGTCTCCACACCTTACTTACCCCAAAAACATGGAGAACTTGTCTGTTCTCCTACACAAAAGGAGTGAAATACTTTTTGAACTTGCTGCTTCTTATCAGTGAAATGTAATAAGAATAAAGTCTAAAGTACAAAGATTCTATTTAACTAGTGGTTTCCTGGTATTACAACAAGCTTCTTTTAATATCCAGTTCTTTTAACACAGAGAAAAGCAGCAAGTACATCGGCAGACCCAGAACTCAGTCTAGGAAGAAAGCAAATCATAAATTTGATTTTTTTTTAAATCAATCCCACAAAAAGGATGGAATTCAGGGGACTCCTAGCTTTTTCAACTCTTCTGATATTAAACCTTTAGTAAAACCTATGAACTTTATTTTTCCATAATGAAAATAAAGTGGTATGCTCTCATTTTAGGCAGAAAAAGACTAATATTGATTTCTCAATCCCAATTGCTTGCACACCAGAATACCATACATTTATTTCATGACTGCATCAAAGTGATTCAATCATGTAAACTGTAACAGTATAGAGACATCTCAGAAAGATGTCTCTCATATGACAGTGTAAAAGAGAAAAACTGCCCATAAGATTATAAAAATTTGCCTTTAAAGTATGTTGACTCACAATCCTAGTCCCTTATTTCTCACCCTGACAACCCTCCCACTGGACCCTCATTTTGAAACTAAGTCACATAACAACAACTGAACAACAGACATAAACATAACTTCATTGAATATCAAGAAAAAGATTTATTTTTTCCCCATTCTTACAAATCCGTCAAAAAGTTTAATTTTATAATTTACACCTCAGGATGAATTTGATGACATAAAATAATGCCAAGTAAACAAATGACAAAATATGTAAATTACTTAAATGTTCATCCTTCCAGAAAATTCTCAAACAGAAAAAAAAAATCAATTCTGCCACCTAGTGGCAAGTTAGAGGAATCAGATCCTGGAGCAAAATGAATGAATCATAGGCCCAACAGTTAGTTTCCCTACCTAATAAAGGCTACCTACTCCATACGTACCTTTTTGCAAGAATAACCTAAAACTCAGAGCAAGATATCTCAAGAAATCTCCAGAGTCCCTGTCCACGTATTATCCCAAGTCTGGCGTGTGACACAGACTACTTCATGTGAAATGTAATTTTTCCTCTGGCTATTTTAAGATCAGTTTGTTCCAGTTCTACAGCTCAGAAGAGATAACACAGGAGAATGTGAAAACATCCAAAAGCTCATCTGTTCAGAGTGCATACACAGTAATTTTGATGTCTGTTGTCTCAAACACCTCCTCAATCATCACAGATACATTCTCCCACTGAAGACCATCAAGACCACATCCAATCCTGAAAAAAACAAAACATCTGTTGTAATCTAGGAGATCACTCCTTTCATTTAGTTGTAACCACCCAAAACAAAGACAAAGTACCTGGCCTCAGACCTACAAGCAGCAAAGGTGAGGGTTCAGAACTTAATTCCCATTCAGAGTCACCTAAGACTTTTAAGAAGCCTTGGTTTCTTCCTTGCAGGTTGCTGCAAGCATTTCAACTGTCCCCATTATACCTTTTAAACATTCTTGCAAATCCCAGGGCTCTTCCTAAGATGGGGAAGTTTACAATTTCTCAACACCATAAACTCTGCCCCAGACTTGAGGCTCAACAGGAAACTAAGGGACAAAGATGCCACACCTGGGCATATGATGAAATATATACCCTTAAAGATCTTAAATAAACAGACAATCCCCACTAGCCTAAGTGGAAATGAAAGATGTTAATCTTATTTTAGCAACACAAATGAACCCTAATTTAATAAGACATCTCTGGGAAACAAATGGGAACCCTCTGATACTTTGTTTAATAAGCAATCTAAAGACCCAGTTTTCCTATAAAAACCTCACAGAACAAATCATACTTTAGTCTTATACTAAGTTCCTCCCCTTCTGGGGAGGTTTTATTCATTTATTTATTTTTTTTTACTTTTCAATAAACTTTTGTGTTTTCTGAGTCTAACATCTCCATTACTCATTATTTTCATTTTTGAAAATATAGAAGAACATGAGAATGGTCACTTCTTCTGCATCAATAATTTCTCTTATCTATTTAGCCTAGAAAGATACTGTTTCTCGATTATCTCAGAATACACTTAGAAACCTTTAACTCTGCCAAGACATAGGAAACTTACTACCTATGTTGTGTCTACTAATGAAAACTACTTGTGGAAGGATGGGGCCCTCCCATTGATCATTGATTTGCTCGAGCGGGCCCAGTAACGTCTCCATTGGAGACTTTGTTGTTACTGTGTTTGGCATATCGAATACGTCACGGGGAGCTTGCCAGGCTCTGCCGTGCGGGCGAGATACTCTCAGTAGCTTGCCGGGCTTTCTGAGAGGGGCGGAGGAATCGAACTCGGGTCGGCCATGTTGGCTGCATGCAAGGCAAACGCCCTACCGCTGTGCTATGGGAAAGACTGATATTTCAAAATACCAATTTATGATAAAGACAAAAAGGAAGGATTCAAGAAGTAAAAGTGAAATACTGGGAATGCCAAACTGATACAATTCAGATAAAGCCTCAGTCAACTCACACAACTGACTACATGGAATCTTTCCTTCAAGATGTTGCTCTTTGAAAATACGTGGGAGGCTTAACCTATAAAAACATGTTCGTAATCTCTTCTACAAGGGCTTAGGTGGTGGCCGGGAAAAGTGGAAAAAATTTTTTTAAAAAGGTGAAAATTATGGTGGAGGGAAGGTGTGATGGTGGTGGAATTAGTGTTGGAATATAGAATGTAATAAATCATTGTGGACAACTTTATAAAAACAAAAAGTTAAATTGAAAAGCACTGCTAAAATTGCAAACTTTAGAGATGATTATGTTCTTAAAATACCCCCTAATTTGAAAAACAACATTTCTGAAACATAATCCATAAACATATTAAATGCCAGTTTAGATGAGGGTCACTGGAACAATAGCCACAAGTACTTGGATCTTAGAATAAACCTGAATGCTGGTTAGAATTGATTCAAAACTGGAGTGACAGAGTAAGTGACCCCAAGCCCACACTTGAAAAGGAAACAGTATGCATAAAATCCTCAATGCCGTCCCCTTGAATTCCCAGTAGCTGGGAACTGCTGCCCATAAGTAACGTGATTCCAACAGTTAAGGAGGAGGGTTCTGCAAGTGGCTTATGTGAAGTGGGGATAAGAGAGGTCAGGGCACTAAGCCTTGAGAAAAGAGTCTACAGCTTCCCTCTCAACCCAACCGGGGTCACCTGGAGAAGACTGGGGAAATCTAGTATGAATGAGATTTCCCCAGGAGCAGCTGTACAGTACAGACCTTACCTCACACCATCCCCATGAGGTGGTCTTCAAACTGCACCTGGGTTCCATTTGTTCTGCCTTGCATGGGACATGATCCCTGCCACCAGATTTCTCGGGGAGCTACAGAACCCAGGTTGGAGTGAGGAACTGCTCTTTGCAGAAAAGGAAAGTAGGTTTTAAATCTTACCCAGGCTTGCTGGGCCTGTTTCCTTCCTTTATAGAGAATTATTTCAGGAGAGGAATAGTGAAGTAAATCAAGTTTATTCAGTAAATAAAGGGATAAAGAGAGAAAAATCCATACTCAAAAGAGAAAACACTTGCTTCTCCAGAGGGACTTTTTGGTAAAAGTTATGTATGGTTATTTTTCATGACCACCTTTGTCCCAAATTCTTAACACGAGTAGAAATTAATAAGTCTTTCCTGAGGAAAAGCATTCAACTTCTGGTGGTCCATTTTTGAGTTCCCATCACAGTCTCTGTCTGTGCGTTGCTGGTGTCTCCCCTCTCAGTGATCCATAAGTGCCAGGGGCCTTGAATTCTAAATCTCAATGATTAATTTATAGCTCCTTAGAATCCTTGTGTCAAAGGCCTTCATGTCTTTGGGCTCTTTTAGCTTTCTTATAGTGCTTTTTCCAACATACATTACCATGGGCGCCCAATCTCTGCTTGCAACACAACTAAGATATTACATCAGGGATTTATTCTCTAACTATCATGCATACTGACCAAAAACAAGTTAAGGGGCAGAACATAAAACTTGGTAATAAAAACATACAACTTTCTTTGCACAGGATGGTCCTGATGGAAATCAATCACAGTCTTAGTTCTTGAACCTCTAAGGCCTCAGAAATAAAGGCTAAGTTTCTAGCAGAGAATATCTAGAATTCAGCAATATAATTGAACAATGATTTCCCCCTAAACAGAAGATGTGTTTCAATTATCTTGACCAATTCAACTCAAGCTAACAAATGAGTATATCATGGCTTGATAGCTAATTCAAACTAATCTTAGAATGTTTTAAAATTTGCCTACCTATAAGTCATCATTTTGGGTTAAGTTAAGCTTCTAAATCCTTTGTTTTGGGGTATGACAATAGCCACCAATAATCAAGGACCCTGGCTTTCCTTACCTGGGCATGGAGAGGTCTGTGACTCCATTTTTCAGACAATGAGACTTCATGGCTTCTAAACTCTTCTGTAGGTTTTCGTATGTTGGCTTATGTGAAGCCCTTTTCTTTGTAATCTGAGTATAAAGAAAGAATTGGGAGTTTCCAAATGACAGCCAATGAAAAGTCATCATATTCTCACACCATACTGATTTAAAGTTAAGTGCATTTTTATAACATAGTCTAAACAGAAACATATATAGTCCCTTCCAGTTACGGCAGACACTAAGGAAAACGTGCCAGCAGGTCAATCTGTACCTGTGAGGCCAGTGCATCAGCAGCCTGATGGTGCCATCAGACTTCCAGATACCCCCAAATTGCTGCTGTGCCTTTGGCCAGACCCCAAAAACTTGGGGCAAAGTTTACCAAGAAATTAAACGGCCAAAAGTTAGGTATGTGGGAAACACACCCACAAACCACCTCCGGCTCAGCTATGTAACTGGAGGCATGGCCTCTCTGGTTCCTGATTGAACTGCTTAATGGCCATGATCCCAGAGACTCAGAAACAAATCTCAAAACCCAGTGGCTTTTGGCAGAAATGCATCTGGTCCCTGCAGCAGGTTATCGGTGCTTGGCCAATCCAGGTGGGAATAGGTTTCGTGCCTTGGCCTGTTCCCCCTGGTGGCCCGGTGGCCAACATCCTCTAGAGGTAGGTTTGGGACTGCAGTGACAAGACATTTTGGGCCTCACGGGATGGGGGTGGAGCCGGGCCTGTCCTTCCCACCCCAACGAGACCCCAAGTCATTGCCCACAAATGGCCTCTCTGGCTCCTGATCAAGCTGCTTAACGGCCATGATCCCAGAGACTCAGAAACAAATCTCGAAACCCAGCGGCTTTTGGCAGAAATGCATCCGGACCCTGCAGTAGGTTGCTGTCGCTGGGCCACCCCGGCTGGGGGGGTGTAACGGGTGTTGTCCCTCTGCCTGCTCCCCCTTGGCGGCTTGGTGGCCATCATCCTTCAGAGGTCATTGGTCAGTCAGGTCTGGGCACACAGTAACGAAACTTGTTGGGCTTCACAGGATGGGGGTGGAGCTGGTCCTTGTCTCCGCCTCCCAACAAGACCCCAAGTCACTGCCCATGAACAGCCTCTCTGGCTCCTGATCAAACTGCTCAACGGCCATGATCCCAGAGACTCAGGAGCAAATCTCGAATCCCAGTGGCTTTTGGCAGAAATTCCTCCAGATTTAAGTGTTAAAATTTCGGAATTTCAAAATCACATGGCGCTACTGCAGCCACACGACATCATATGTTATTCATAACCAGCAATAGAACACAAATTGTCTACGGTTGACTTTTCAGCAGATCTGAGCGTTGGGGTAAAATCTCAAATAATGATGGTGGGTCTGGTGTCAAAATATTGAACGTGATCAAAGTAGAGAGAGAGTAATGTGGAAATCATCTGCCCCACAGGTAGGGGGAGGGTTTGGGATGTGGGTATACTGGGGTTTTTGGTGGTGGAGAATGGGCACTGGTGAAGGTATGGGTGTTTCACTGTATGACTGAGACTTAGACCCAAAAGCTTTGTAACTGCTCTCACGGTGATTCAATAAATAAAATTATAAAAAAATGAAAAAAAGTAAGATGGAGTTCATGCACAATTCAATCAGCTAATCAGTGGCTGAATAAATAGCAGTACTCCTACAAAACAAAAGAAAGAAAGAAAATCCCAGACATTGCTCTATAAATAAACTTTCCTTTTCAGACAAGCTCAGAACATTAGCAACCTATGCTTACTATTTTTTAAAGACAGTTAGAAGAGTCTTTGTTTGACTTCCAAAAGATAAACTGCTTATTTGTAACACGGAACCACCACTGCTACCTGAAAATTTCCTGTTAATTTATTTAGGATTGTTTTCTTGCTTGTTTTCTGTAACAGAAGACACTGGTGGTGTTTCCAAATAAGATGACAAGTCAACCTAAGCCACATCAGAGTTACAAAATGTTAGCACCTAGCACTATCCTTAACAAAGCTATACTCTTTCTGGAACTGAAGACCATTTTTTGAAGTTGATGGGCCCTCACAGGTGACTTGTGTGAAGTAGAGGGGAAAAAAGAGATGGCCACTTTCTCCTGATCCACCTCCCCTACTTTGGGATGGGCACGGAAGGGTAGGACTGATAAAGTCTGCAGATGAGCCTGTGCCGCACGGGTTAGAGCCCCACCAGCTCCACCAGGTGGCCACCAAACCACATCCGATATCCCCTTAGTCTTCTCGGCACGGGAGATGGTCCCCACTACCCAATTTCTCCAGGTGCCATGAACTCAGGCTGGAGTGATGAACTGCTCTTTGCTGGAGAGTCAGTCCGTCCTGGGCTTTACCTACATCTTCCAGGTGTTTGTCCTATCTCACAGAAAAGAATTTCAGAAGGGAACAAGCAGAGAAGAAAAAGTAGGTTTTATTTGGAGGTTTTGAGAAAGGGGAAGGAGATGACAGTAACACGGTCAAGAGAGAACACGGGTTTCTTCAAAGACATAGAGTCCCACTATACATGTCAAGAGGAAATGTGCGTGACAAATGCACGCTTACATGTGCTCAGCCACATGGGCATAAGCAGCACATGGGCTCAGGCAGCATATGCACACACCTCCTTTGTGCAAGTTGGCTTGTATATGTTTTTCTTCATATGCCCCACGTGGGGCTTTCTAGTTAGAGTCCACTGCTACGGTAGCTGCCAATGGACTTGGGAATGTGTGAAGAAGAGTGAATCAGGGGTTCCATGGTAGGACACGTTTGGTGGCTGGAAACAGCCTCCCAGGCAGAGGAACAAAGAGACTGGGACCCCAGACTGATTCAGGTCAATGGACTATTAACAGTGGATGTTTAATTCAGAACCAAATAGCATACTTATAGAACATCTGAGGGGGTTCAAGGTATAGGATTGCAGGTAGATGTGACTGATCATTTACAGAGGAAAAGCATTTCAAGGGAGGCAATTCTTTTGGAGGAATTAACTCAAGGAGACATTCTATACTAAGGAATCTGCTCAGGGGTGACAAGCATCTATATTGCTTTTCTCTTACCCTTGCTACCAGTACATATTAAACAATCAAGTTTACTTCTTATTAATATTTGCAGTTATTTGGATAAACACAATAAGAAATATAGATTCCAAAACATAGTTCTCTAGGCTTCAGGGGCAAGGGTTAAAAGCCACTGGGTTTTTACTTTAAATCCCAGACTAAGTTCTCAGGCCAGTTAAGCTTTTCCTACCCCACAGGGTCCTGTCTTTCTTGGTCATTATGGCTTTTATCAACACAGGGCTCCCTAGTCTGTACCATATAGATGCTGGGGTAGCTTTGCTTGCCCCAGGTGGACCCAGATATCCCTCAGTGGGACCCAGTTTTTTGGAGTGTTACACTATGGCAACTGAAGCCTGAGTCAAGTAACTGTGATGGATGCTGAGGAGTAGATATATTTCAGAATCAATCAGCTCCCAAATATTAGAGGAGTATAGTTTTAATGGTCTTTCGGTATTTAAAGCAAAAAATATTGCTCTACAGAAAAATATGGAAAGGTTACAGGGGAAAGAAAAAAAGCAACTAATTCACTCTAGATACAATGTCCAGATTTGCCAGAAGGTTTGCCTTTATAAGTAACCATGCCCGACTTGGGGAATCTAGTCGCTAACAGAATGAGGAGTAAAGCACAAAGGAAAGGATAAACTTGGGGGGTTAGAGGTGCTCGTAAGAGCACAACTGTAAGCGCCTCTGTAGGGGGAGAAGGGGCATTTCACTGATGAAACCTGAAAGAACTTAGGGTTAATATCCAAGAGGAGTGATCAATGGTCCGCTTTGAAATTCCTTTCCTTGCCTTTGTTCCTGCTGGAGATTTTCTGGGGGGTTCAGCCTTCTCTGGGTCTGCTGGCTCAAGATGAAGTCATCAGGTCTTAGTTCCTGTGTCTGCAAGGTGGGTTTTTTGCAGCCTCCGGCTCTTGGTTTTATTGCTTAAGAATTTCACTGCCATGGGGGTCCCTTCCTGTCTCTCTGCCTATCCACCTTCATCAATCTGGACAGTGACCAAATCACAAGGGGAATCATGAAAGGAGCATGGCTGGTGCCTAAATGTGATTTCATGGGAATAATTAAAGTCCTGCATTTAATAGGAAAGAACAAGATAAAAGTTCCTTTAGGTGGGGCTGGAGTGATGAACAGTGGGTAGGGCATTTGCTTTGCAGGATGCGACCAGAGTTCTATTCCCAACATCCCATATGGTCCCCTGAGCACCACCAGGAGTAGTTCCTGAGTACAGAGCCAGGAGTAAACCCTGTGCATCGTGGGGTGTGACCCAAAAAGGAAAAAACATTCCTTTGGCTAACATGTAATTTAAGAACTATTATTTCTAACTCATCACATTTAGTAAAGAATTGAAGTGTGGTGTGAGACAGCCCTAATTTTTGTAAACTTTATCATATGCCGTTGAGAGATATTATAATCCTTTTCCCATTGGGTGGGGTATTGCCTCACACTCCTTAATCTCCTGCTCCTAACCAAGTCTGAGTAGGCTTGTGATCAGATTTTTAACATCTGTGGTTGTGAAAACATATTGATCAATATGCTGTAAACAGAGAAAGGAGGGTCCTGGTAGATGTATGATGGGGAAAAGTCTGGAACTTAAACCAGCCAAAAAGGTATGAAGGTCATGGAGACAAAGACCCATCTAAGGAGCCCATAAAACCCTTGAGAAGCAGAATTCCGGGCCTGGAGCAGAAACATCACAGAGAGAAGAGGCACCAAGAATGCATGGACAAAGAACATGTGATATGAACTTCTCCCCACCCTCCTCCCAGCCCCGCCACCAGCCCCCAAGGACCACCAGGAGTGATCCCTGAGCACAGAGTCAAGGAGTAAGCCCTAAGCAACACCCAATGTGCAACAATTCACAGCCCCAAAGACGCATACACAAAATACCCAAATACAAAAATTAAAACACATACACAACCTCCACCACCGACCCCCAACCCCCCCAAAAAAGAATGGACACCAGAAACTCAATGCTTTTCCTCCCAGGAAAAGACCCACTAATTCCTATTCATGTAAAGGATTTGGGACACAACTGGTCATGGAGAAATACCATACAAAACCTACATCAAAAAGTCACTCTGGAGAAGTCAGTGTTCTCTCTTGAGATGGATCTTTCCTTTTCTCCTATTATTTTCCTAATAAACATGTTTTATTTCACTATTCATCATGAAGTCTGTTGGCCCCCAGTTGGTGGCGTACATGAAGTGGAGAAAAGAGAAATGGCCACTTCCCCCAATCCACCTCTGCCACCCGGGGAATGGCTGAAAAGTCTAAGACCAATAAAGTCTGCAAAGAACCCGTTCTTGGCATGGAGAAATCCCGCCAGCCCCAGTAGACAGCCATCAAGCCTCATCTGAACCTGACATCCATTAGGGCTTCATGGCACGGGAGTTTATTCCTATCACCTGAGCCGTGGGCTCAGGCTGGAGTGAGGAATTGCTCTTTGCAGGAAAAGAAAGCCAGTGCTGCGACTTACTCAGGGCTTCCAAGTCCTTGTCTATCTTTCAGGAGTAATTGAGCAGTAAAACAGTTTTTACTTGGAGGTTTTGAGGCAGGAGAAGAAGGAGAGTAATGTGCTCAATCTTACCAAGCCTTAAGTCTCTGCATCCAAGAAATGTGGGTCCTGAGAGCCTCAGGACTATGCTGGTTTTAGTACTTCCTAAGGAATTCCATTGCCATATGGGCCCTTCCCTAACTACCTACATCACTCTCCTGAAATTCTTCTCTGTAAAGAAAGGAGACTTGGCAAGCCTGGGTAAGATTTAAGACCTACTTTCCTTTCCTGCAAAGAGCAGTTCCTCATTCCAACCTGGGTTCTGCAGCTCCCCGAGAAATCTGGTGGCAGGGATCATGTCCCACTCGAGGCAGAACAAGTGAAACCTAGGTAGTGTTTGAAGACCACCTCATGGGAATGGTGTGAGGTAAGGTCTGTACCATGCAGCTGCTCCTAATGGACTCTCATCAGTTCTAGATTTCCCCAGACTTTCCCCAGACTTCCCCAGGTGGGTAGAGAGGGAAGTTGCAAAGAGTTTTCTCAAGGCTACCTCTGGCCTCCCTCCTCTCCACCACACAACCCATTCCAGTAAGGAAACCCAACGCCGTCTGGTAGGGTCACCTCTTTCACCCACAACAAATACATATACAGTGCATTCAGTCAGTCTTACCAAGTAATATATGTATCGCCCATCTCGCTTCAGAACAGCCACTTCTCCAGTTTTCTTTTCTAGTAAAAAATAATGAAATAGTAAAGGAAAAAGAAAACCAAAATCAAAATATTCATCTCCATTCTTGGAGTTTTAAAATATTTTTACACACACGTAAGAGTTTGCTAAGAGTTCAGTGTTAAGCATTATGTAGAATAGATAAAAAAAAAAGTTCCTAGTTATAGTTTTCATTTAAGGTGTTATTTAAAAAATGCACAGTATCAAACAGATTAATTTGTTTCGCATAGTTAGTACCAGATCACCAGTGGAGACTGTCTGGGCCGTGACAAAGAGAACCTCTGGAGATTCTAATGCACATCTCAATTTTAAAATCATTGTTAGAAAGTGATGGGAGACATGTGTAAATAAGTTTCTAGACTTGCGTAAGAACAGAAGCAGGGGATCCTGAATGCCGAAGTGACACACCTGTACATTCTGCTATTTCAGTAACTCAATCAAAGGCTTCAGAGACAGGAAGTGGTAGTAATTGCCAAGAAAGTTTTATGACAAAGACACTAGAGGATTTTTTTTCTTTGAGTATGTGGAGTACCTTTAATAAACCAACTCTTTGGTATAGTAAACGACCAAACTAAAGGTCCTTGTCCTGAAGAAAAATCTAAAAACAGTAGGTGGTGAGAAATCCCCTCTTTGCACATGCATCGTGCAACGGGGTGCGAAAAGATGCACAACCAGAGTAGGAGAAAAACTCACGTTGACTTATCAGATCCTGCACCCCTCCAAATTTCTTCTTGAAGAGAACAGCAATTCCAGCTCCCATGCGACAATCCTCACTGATACAGTGGGCTAAAGAGTCTGTTTGGGGGCATGCAAAAAGATCTCCTTTCACATAAGCGATCTAAAAAACGTGCAAAGTGAGAGAAAATGTTATTATCCACAGAAAATCCACTCTGTTCCGTGTCTCCCATTGTATTTTCTCCCCACTGATCCTCCTTGCTTTAAAAACCAGACCGTCAAAATGCAAGAAATCAAAAACCAATCGAAGCACGTGTAAAAGTAGTGAGCGAGACGGTCCCTGCCCGAAACGTGACTCCACCAGAGGAGACCCTCGTTGACGTGATTAGAAGGCGTCGGCGCTTTGGACCGGCTGCTAGCGGCTACGCACTCGGCTTCCCGCGGGGTCTTCCGTAACGTTTCCCGCCATGCTGCGGAGCCGCGACCTCGACGCCGCCGGGGCGCTTCTTCAGCTCTGAGGAAGGAGCACAACCGCTGAGGCGGCCTGAACGGCCCGCGTTCCCGCCGCCCGACCCCGCCCTGCGGCCTAACGCCGACTACGCGTTCGTTCCAGGCGACACCGAAACTCCGGGCCGGGAGTGCGCCCGGGCCCCGCGCCGACGGCGGCTCGGCCCCGGCTTGCCGCGGCGCGCCGCGAGCCGCGCGAGGTGGGGCCGCTCCACAGAGCTTCCCGTTCCGTCTCCTATGCAGGGGCGAGAGCGCGGTATCCCCCGGGTCCAAGTGCCGGGGCGGCCGCTCAGGATAGGCTTTGACCGTCAGCGCCCCGCGTGGCGGGTCCCGCTGACCACTCAGAGGAGGCCCAGGCACCTGTGGAGCCCGGGAGTCGAGCTTCCGTACGGGTTCCCCGCGCACAAGAAAGGGCCCGCCACGGGCCCCGGTCGGGGGAAGCAGCGGGCGATCCCCGACACGAAGCCGCACGTACCGAATATGGCCGCCCGCCAACCGGGGCCGGGGCGGAAACGCGCCCCTCTAGCTGCCGCGCCGAGCCCGCACTCTGTGGTGACGGCCCGGCTTCCGGCGGGGAGCTCCGTGCATGCTGACGCGAGAGCCGACCGCGCGAGGGGAAGAGCGGCGCTTGCGCACTAACGCCGGGGGCGGGGGGAGCGGGGGGAGGCGTGTCTCGTGCGGACGCCAAGACGGGGATGCCCGGGAAGTGGGCGAGACGCAGAGCCAGCGCCTGCGTAGTGGCGCAATTTGGCGGGAGCGGAGGGAGTCGGGGCGCCCGGAAGGCGCCTGCCTATTCCTTCCGCTGGGTGGTGCCGGCCCAGGGACGTGGGCGTGGCCCGGAGGGCGCCTGCGCCGTGCGCCTTCGCGCGGGGGCGGGGCCGCCCCGGGGGCGTGGCCTCGGAGGCGCCTGCGCGGAGGCGGTTGGAGGGAGGCCCGATTCCCCTTTGTTCGAGTTCGCCATTTTGCTAGGCAGCGGCAGTGGCGGCGGCAGCGGCGGCTGGAGCCTCTGATTGGGTTTCGGGGTCCGGTACTGGAGCCAATCAGCGCGGGCAGCGAACCGGGGGAGCGAGGCACGGTGAGTGTGAGGAGCCAATATCCAGCGGCCCAGCGCCGGCCCCAGCGCCCCGATTGGCGGGTCCCGCTGACCACTCAGAGGAGGCCCAGGCGCCTTTGGAGCCCCGGGAGTCGAGCTGAGCGTAGCCGGGCGCGGTGGTCGGCGGCCCGGCCCGGAGCCCGCCGGCGCCCCGGAGCACTGCCGGCGCAGGCCTGCAGGGGGCCGCCCGCGGGGGCATGGCGCTCCCGGGAGCAGGCGTCCCGGGCCGGGCTCTTCCGGGGGCCCTGCCGGCTGGGGGGCGCAGCGCCGCGACTCCGGCCCGGGCCCCGGGTCCTCGTGCCTGGGCGTGGGGGCGGCGGGTCGCCTGCCGCGCGTGCCCTCCGTCCAGGTACCCCACGCGCCGCGGGCACCGGGCGCGCCGCTCGTCTTTCCGCCCCCCGCTTTTCCGCCTGGGCGCCTCCCGCCCCGGGCCCGCCCGCGCCGCGCGCCCCCCGCGCCCCGCGCCCCGGTCCTTTCCTCCGCCCCTGCCGCGGTGGGCGCCCCGCAGGCTGCCCCCGTGGAGAGCTCCCCCTCCCCTCCCGGGCCGCTCGCCGGCGCGCTGACCTTGCCCTGGCTTCCCGTCACCTTAGCGCCCCTACAGTGTGGCGGGCTCGGCACCGCTCCCCCACGTCGAGCCTGAGAGTCTCGGCTGATACTCGCTGTGCCCGTCCGTAGAGTTGCCCAGCGAGCGTTCACGGTTTTGGGGACGGGGGGGCATGTTGTTGTAGGAGGAGAGGAACGGACACTCGCTGGCGGCTGTGGGAAGCAGGCGCGGCTCTTGTCGCGGGGGAGGGCGTGGGTAGAGGTCTCTCAACTCCGCTGCCGGCGGAGCCTGGTTCGTGAAAAATAACCAGGGGGCCAAGGGGTTGCAGTTGAGTCCCGCAGAGCGTGGCCACTAGCGGCCCCCCGCCCCCGCCGGCTGCTGCGCTCAGGAGCGTGGCCCGGGCCTGGAAGCACGTGTCCAGGCTCCCCTGCTCCTGCCGGGCACTGGGAAGCTGCGGTGGTGAAAACACTGGTTTGACTAGATAAGGAGCTCCGGAAAGCTACTTTGTGGGGCTACAGATAAGAGCAACCCGGGAGTGCTTTTTTTTTCTCTCCCAAGATTGGAAAAACATTGTTAGTGGCTGGCTGCTTGCTGAAAGGAAGGCCTTGGAATTTTTGCTCTTGCCAAGTCCCAACTGTTGTCCTTTGCTTGTAGAATCAGTCTTAGAGTATATAGTTCTGTGGCTATCGTCATATTTACTGAGGTATTTTGCACTGGCAGGTTTAAGAAAAGTCTTGAACCAGGTAGGATTTTTTTATTACTAAAATGTGGGAAGATTTGGTTCCCCCTTTTTTGAATTAGTTTTTTTCTTTATTTTCCTTAATTTTAATTTACATTTTGTACATTAATTAGATGAGGTAGTGTTTATGTGTTTAAAAACCATATTCCTGAATAGGTGTTTCGGTTTTAAAATAGCTTGAAACCACCACACTCTTCAGTAGACTTCTTTGTAAACAGTAGTTTGTACACTGGTCACCTTGTTTTTGCTACACGTCTCTATTTTCACCTGTTGGCAGAAGACTCTTTTTTTTCTCTCGAAACCTGGGACTTTGGTCTGCTGCTTATAAGCCAAATTTCTCTGTTTTTGATGTTATCTAGGCTTCACCTCCTCCCACATCATCACATAAATAAGCCGCCACATTGGAACTCAGTTCAGATGCAACATTTTCTAAAGTTGTCCTTACCTTATGTTCCGCTGGAAGAGGTTTCTCCTCCGGACTTCATTTTCTAAATTCTAACCCTCAGTACAGTGTCTACTACAGTGGTGCATACATAGAAACCGAGTAAATAGAAAAATTCCAGTCTAGAGGCCTCTGAGAATATGGGGAAGCTGGAAATCCTTATTGGTTTGGGGGGCCACATGCGGCAGTGTTCAGGTTTTATTCCTGGCTCTTAGCTCAAGACTGGGCATCGGGTGTCAGTGTGTCAGTATTGGATGCCTACCAGGAATTCAACTTGGGTTAGCCGCATGTAAGGCAAGTGTCCTACCTGCTGTACTATCACTCCCACCCGTTTTGTTCTTCAGTCGTCAAATCAGGACTTACCTGTGGGTTTAAAAGCAGTTTAGTGGGCCAATTTAGCTGGCGGGTTATTTTGTTTTGTTTATAAGCATAGAAAACAGTGACATTTCTGTTGCTTTCACTTTACTGCTACCTGTATTTTGAAACTGGCCCCAAAAAGTTTGAAAGTTCTTACCAGGTGTGATTGTCAAGTAGGGTAAATTGATGGGCTTTTCATGCACTGTAATAAATTGGAAGCTTTCATTTTTAAGGTATACATATCTACATAGATTGATTTCCTGATCTTTTCAGGTTCGGTGTGAAATGGGGAAGGAAAGAACTTTTACAGATAAACACATTTTCTCTTTGAGGGGGCAAATTAAAGAAAATCAAATTTTACTTCACAGCAGGAGCTAGACAGACTTAGTCTGTCTCACTTAATTTCATCAGTATCTTGAGCAGAGAAGCTCTTAGCGATGAACCTGAAGCCAATTCCATGCAGCATTCACCATTTGTGGTTTCATCATGTTTGAACCCCTTCCTTCTTTCCTATTTGAGTTGAGGCTGCTTTGACTTTTTTACCTTTTTTACCAAATTCAAGGAATTTGGGTTTAAATGTTTTTAAATTGTTGTATTTATGTTACCAAGATACAAAAGGAAAAACTATGGGTGGGAGGGTGTATACACACACGTATATATGTAATTTCTGTATGCTTTTCATTCATGTGCTTTTCAGCAAGTTTTAAGTTTCTAAATACTAGTAACCAAGGAAAAAGCTTCTAAGAGAATTGAAGGGGGTGGGGGAGTGTTGAGATTTAGCCTTATTTTAAGTTAGGATAGAGAAGGAACCAGTATTGCAGTGCACTTGCAGCACTGTCCTCCTGTTGTTCAGAGCGGGCACCAGTCACATCTTCATTGTGAGACTTGTTGTTACTGTTTTTGGCATATCAAATACGACATGGGGAACTTGCCAGGCTCTGCCATGCGGGCAGGATACTCTCGGTAGCTTGCCAGGGCTCTCCAAGAGGGACGGAGGAATCAAACCCAGGTCAGCCCTACCTGCTATGCTATCGCTCCAGCCCTTATTGACAGTAAGAGATGAAAATGATCATTTCAGACATGACTAAGTGTTGAAAATAGGCAAAAAGATATACCCAATAACCTTTCAGTATCTGTATGGGAAACCATAAGGCCCAAAAGGGGAAAGATAGAGACAGAGAGAGCCTGAGAGTGCACCTGGGGGGTGGGTGGGGAGACTAGGGACATTGGTGGGGGAAAATGTGCACTGGTGAAGAGATGGGTTGGAACATTATATGACTCAGACCCAATCATGAACAACTTTAACTAGCTCTCTGATTCGACTAAAATTTTTAAATTAATTTTAATGTGTTTAGAAGCAGTATAGTGTGACTTTGGTGTATGTCTTGATCAGTTTTGATAAATCTGTACATCTCTCTGCAATCACCACTACAATGAAGGTATTTTGAACAGAGAGTTCCTGTATTTGATCCAGTCACCTTCCCCTTGTGGCAATTTTCTCCAGTCTTAGGAAACCACTAATAATCTGCTCTCTGTTTCTAGATTATAACTGTCTTTTTTCGGTGTTTTATAAAAAAAGCATGTTTTCATATTAGCCCTTGGTTCTTTTAATTTTATTAACAAATATATTGCTTTGTGCTGTAGTTAGAGACAAGAGTTGACTTGCCTGACTGCCAACGTAGCTGGGAGTCTGGTTTTCCTTCTGTACTCACAATCTTTCAGTATTCTGTCAACCAGTTAATAAAAATTAACATGAAAACAAAGCTGGTTTGTGTATATACAATGAACAGTAACTACTTGTTTTGTTTTGTTCCTCATGTTTATACTCTCTGTTAGCTAGTTTAAAAGTAAACCAAAATTATAGCCAGATATTGTTTAATGAGCATTCTACTGGCTTAAGAGTAGTGGATTGCCCCAGCATATTGCCCTTGTATGTCCCGGGCTGTCAGTGCTTTGCTAGATGGGCATAGTAACCCTGACATTTATTTTTGACTCTAGACATAATGTACACTACCATTCCAGTTATGAGTATTAGGGTTGATAACATTAATTAGATCCTCCAACATTTTAGCATAAACATTTTCAAACATACAGTTAAGTTGGAAAATTTTTATAGTAGATATATATCCTGTCACATAAAGGAGAAATTTCCACTTTAGCTCACTGCTCACTTTTCAGAAAAGAAAAATGCAGCATCCCCCCAGTTGCATCCTTGGTTACTACCACCCCTTTAAAAGTTTAGTGTCAGGGCCAGAGTGATAGCACAGCGGGTAGGGCGTTTGCCTTGCACGTGGCCGACCTGGGTCCCCCAAGCACCACCAGGAGTAATTCCTGAGTGCAGAGCAAGGAATAACCCCTGAGCATCGCTGGGTGTGACCCAAAAAAAGCATAAATAAATAAAAGTTTAGTGTCTTGGGCATGGGAAAGAGTGCCCACTTTGGGAACAACTGCCTAATATTTACCACTGACATTGTACCATATGCACGGCAGAGCCTGGCAAACTCCCTGTGGCGTATTCGATATGCCAAAAATGGTAATAATAACTGGTCTCATTCCCCTGACCCTGAAAGAGCCTCCAATACAGCAGCGTTGGGAAAGTCAAGTAAGGAGAGGCTGCTAAAATCTCAGGGCTGCAGCGAATGGAGACATTATTGGCACCTGCTCCAGTAAATTGATGAACAACAGGATGACAGTGACAGACAGTGATTGTATCATATTTACTTTCTCAGATATTATATCCAACCCCACAGTTCATTCAGTAATTACTTTTTACGTCTTTAAAAGTAAATTCTATTAAAACACAAGATTCATATCCACCAGAGCAGTGCCTTTCACTGCTTCTTTTGCAGCTCAGTTTTTATAACTATCATTCAAATTTTTAGAACTAACTTGATAATTTATATAATGAGGAGGAGAAGGGCATACCCATCTGTGCTTAGGGCATCCTGTCAGAGTTTGGGGACCATATGAGATGCTGAGGATTGAATTGCGGTTAGCCGCACACAAGGCAAGCACCCTACCCACTGTACTATTGCGCTGGCTCCTAATTTAAAATTTTTAATTGAATCTTTGGTCAGGATGCTTGACATTAGGTTTGTATCTTTATTATTCTTTGATGATATTAAGGGTTGGTGGTATGGTTGTTTTTTTTTTTTTTTTTGGTTTTTGGTCCTAGAGATGAAATTTAAAGCTTCATACATGAAAAGCGTTTATCACTTAGCCTTGACTTAGTTTTGGTTTTTGTTTGTTTTTTGCTATTTAAAATTGTTGTCACAAGATAATACTATTTGATGAAATATTAAAGCAAAGGTCTACTCTTTTAAAATAGATGCTGGAGAATTTCCAGGTTTTTGGAATAATGAAGTGTCTGGGATTTTCATTAAAGTGAACAGGAATGGGTGGAAGGTAAATGAGATATATCTTAAAGATTGATCGTGATTTGAAAAGATGATCACATTTCAGTGATTCTTCTAATTGGAGTGCGTCTTGCAGTCGTCTTCTAGGTTCTCCAGAGGGAAACTTACTGTGAACAGGATTCAAAATTGGAAGGACTATGGAGCAGTATACAACAAACAGCAATAGTTCAACAGAGCAGATTGTTGTACAGGCTGGACAGATTCAGCAGCAGGTAAGGAAGACAAACTTCTAAAATGTTAATAGTGGAGCTGATAATAGCACTTCCCAATTATGTAATTATTGATACTACCACCTCCTAATAATAGGCTTGGTGATTTGTGCTAAACTGTCATGAGTTTGAAATTTGATTTGTTACTTTCATGTTTTCTGTTTAGAAGTCTAATTTATGACCCTTTAGAATCAATCTGCTTTTCATGTAGATCGGTTTATTTCTTTAATCTTACTAAATGTGGAAACACCCAGGTCTTTACTGATGGAAATTGGAGTATTTTTCAGTTTTGTTTCTCATCTTTGTTAGAGCTAGCTTGCTATCTATTAAGACTTCAACCACAATAGACAAACTAATAAGTAGTAAGTTTCTTTTGTTCTTTAATATACACCACAGTGCTTGTTTCTGAAAGTTATAGTTTAAAATATGACTATTTAGGCAGCCACTCATAGGATAAGCACATGCCCGAAAAGAACTCCCTACTGCTGGTTTATTCCTAAGATTAGTTGCTTTTCTGAGTTTATACAGAGTATATTTTTTTAACCGCTTTTCTTTGTTTTAAGAACACTTTTTTCTCCCTAGAAGAAATTTATTATGCATCTGTTTAATATTTTGTTGAGATCAGGAATGTTTTTCTAAAATAGAACTAAAATAGCAGACAAATAGTTACAGGGAGGGTAAAATTAATGGTTAGTTGTTCTGTTGTTGTTGTTGTTTTCTTTTCTTTTTGGGTCACACCCAGCAATGCTCAGGGGTTACTCCTGGCTCTGCACTCAGAAATTACTCCTGATGGTGTCCAGGGGACCATATGGGATGCTGGGGATCGAACCTGGGTTGTTTGCGGGCCAGGCAAACACCCTCCCCACTGTGCTGTCGCTCCAGCCCCTAGATGTTTGAAGCTCCTTCACTGGCTTTTCTCTTCACCACAGTGCTGTGACTTTGGCGACTTCCTTTAGTATTTGTTAGAAAGGTAGTTTCACAGGTTTTCTATTCACACCAATAACTGGTGGGTAAATTCTTCTTCTGTTAGAACTTACTATCTGAAGGTATAAAAATATAGTTGAGCATCCAAGAATCAATGCAACATTTAGAGTATACTATTCCTGGCATGTGTCCAGCCCAAGTGATTCCCCGTACCTCAGGCTGTAACTGGGGAGGCCTCCAGCACAGTTGGGGTAGCCCCCTGGTATCCCTGGTACTGTGGGACCTGAGTAGCATTCCATACTCTGGGCCTTGAGCTGAACCAACAGCCTATTTGACTGAGAATTGCCAGAGGAGCACCAGGCTGCCTGAGCATTGTTGGGAAGTCCATTTAAAAGAAAAATACAGGGGCTGGAGCAATAGCACAGCGGGTAGGGCGTTTGCCTTGCACGCAGCCAACCCGGGTTCGATTCCCAGCTTCCCATATGGTCCCTTGAGCACCTCCAGGGGTAATTCCTGAGCGCAGAGCTAGGAGGAACCCCTGTGCATTGCGGAGTGTGACCCAAAAAAGCAAAAAAAAATAAATAAAAGAAATACACACACACACACACACACAATGAGATTAAAGTACCTGAACACCTTGTTTCTTAGGTAGCTCACATAATAGAGATCATCTTAATTTGGGGGACAAAGGAACTTCCACTAAAGAGTATTTGAGTTTGCAGTGATTTTTATTCTTCCTTGTTGTTTTCAAGGCCATTAAAATTGATAACTGTTCTTGTGAATGCATTTGAAGAATTAAAAAGAATACTAAAATAGGCAGAAGTATCTAATTATGCTCCTTTAGAATAGGGAGTATGTTTTGAGCTTTGCTGTGGAGTCAGGGTGGAAACAAATGGGCTGTTATCTTTAATCCAGCTTTAGCATAGGGTGTCCTATGTAGGGTGCTATGTAGGGTGGAACTACTGAGAGAAGACTCCATTCTTCCATAAGAGGTAAGGTGATCTCATGTCTTGAATTATAAACATTTTCTTCCTGACACATTTCAAGCTCTTCCTGTTCCTGTTCTAGCAGCAGGGTGGTGTCACTGCTGTCCAGTTGCAGACTGAGGCCCAGGTGGCATCGGCCTCAGGCCAGCAAGTCCAGACCCTCCAGGTAGTGGTGCCCTCTCTGATTCTCTGTAAGCACTGCATGACCTTACCCTCTCCTCATGTCTGTGCTATTGTGATAGGATCTGAAAGAGGAATGGTGAAGTCAGTTGCATGTCTTTGATGCTGCTAACTCTCCTCTGAGGTTTATAAGATGCCAGTTTCTTAATATTTTGTGTCAAGTCAGTATCAATTTTCTGAAAACTGTGAAAACTGTATTTGGCTAATAAGTTTCTTTGGTAATTCTTGGGAAAGGAATAAAGATGACAGACAAGAAGAAATTCTTAAAAGTAGAATTAGAACCTTCTTATTAGAGTGCAGGCTGTGTAGTCAGATTTCATGGTAATTTTTTCAGTTTGTGCTATGTTAATGAAGAAAGTACATACACATTAACTAGACTATTTTGGGCTCCCCCCCCCCCTTTTTTTTCTATAAATGGAACAGTCAGTTGCAAAGCACCCATTGAACTTGGTACAATTTTTCTAATTGCTGAATCTCATTAATCTCTTTAAATGCTGCCTTTTTACTACCTTTGCTGGGGAAATCCTGAACTGTATTATTTCTAGATCTTCAGAGATCATCCCATACCTCTTAAGTATTATAGCTGCTCTTAGAATTTTTATTTGACCAGTGCAGTTTCCTAACATTGTATATGACCAAACTAAGTGTGCTAAATTGGGATTATATTTTAGCCAGTTTCTATGTAAATAGGATTAGGAGCATTCAGTCTTTTGTGTCTATAGAATAAATTTAAGATGACCATTTTTTCCAAGAAATTGACAAATTTGGATATCCTACTGCTTTTCCTCCATTGTTTGTATGTGATTCTAAGTAGGACCTTGAATGTGGAACTGGCATCTAATTTGATAGCTAGTGCTCTTAAGCGTCCTGCTATTAGCTGGCCCCTTATTGTGATCATTTTACATTACTCCTTCAGTCCCACCTTGCACCTGCTACACATAATGTTGATGATGAAATATAGCCAGTTCCAAACATAAATTAGGCTGAATGAGATTGTAGGAACTCCTAAACTGCACTCAAAACTTATTCATGTGTTTTATGCTTGCTTCGTATTACTGATGTGTATAACCGTATTGTAATTAACACTTGTGTAACGGGAATGTAATTTGCTCATAACTGTATGGCTTCTTGTCTGATGCATGTTTTCTTGTAATCGTTCATAATGTTGTGAATATTATGGGCTTTTTATTTGAAAGAATGGAAGTGCTTTATGGAAATTATGGAAACCTTGCCCTAAATTATCATTATTTTGAATTTAAAATATATCTTTCAGATACATGGTCTGAAAACTTCTTATAAGCCTGGCATATGTAGAAAGGGAATTTGATATGGGATGGGGGAGTAAGGAAAGGGGAGAGTCAGACTGTATTGTGTAGCTCTTTAACGGATTTCAGTTTTCCTAAAGAGTCACACAATCTTTAGAAAAATCCAGTAGCAATGGTGGTGGTGTGAGGGGGGACTCCCTTAATATGTTGTCTACTTACTAGGATAGAGTTTATCTTAGTATTATTGCAAGAAAAAATTTTCTGGTATGAAATATGAATTATTTTTCAAATGTTTCTGTTAAAAATTCTTAAAAACAAAATATAAAAATAAAAGTTTTGTAATTTTGTTGGAAATTATTTTTCATTTCTGAACTAGCTTTTTTGCTTTAGAAGCATTCATTAATTAGACATTTTTATATTGGAAAATGAGATGCTACAGAACACTTGCTGCGCCACAGATTCTAGATAGAGTATAGGAGTTTGAAAGTTGGAGTTTCCTTGCGTGCTCTGTATGTTTTTAGTATTGGTCATTGCTCCTGTTGAAGTGAAAAATAATTGTGTAGCTATCGTAGAGGACAGTGTAAGGAATTTCACCACTGGTGGCAAATTGGCTAGAAAATATTTCCGTGAGGATTTTTTTGTTTTTAGCTAGTTGGCTTTTTTTTTTTTAAGGAAAAAAACTTAGTATTCTAGTAAGGTGTGCTAGTAAGGTGTGTGTTTTTTATTTATGCTTGAGAAACTATAAGGTGAAAGTCTTTTTTTTTTTTAGAAGTTTATTTAAGAAAGTGTTTTTGCAAAAACTCCCATAGCTACTTGATGCCCACTTCCTGGAGTGACTCTGTACAGTTGAATTCACTCCCTCTAGGGTATTTAGAATTTGTTCTTAAAACTACCATCAGCACTATGAACTAGCTACCCTTCCATTTGCCTTCCATCCAGACCTTATTAAATACCATACCTGGATATTGATCTGAATAGGCAAATAGCATTGACATTTTAATTAAATGCTGTCAGGAATTTAGCCTGTGAATATGCTTGTGTCTATTGCTACTTTCCAAACACCCATTTGATTTTAATATACAACATGGCATTCATTGAAAATAGTAGATACTCAGATTTGAAGAGATAATTTAAGCAAGAGGGCTTTGAGGAGTGTTTTGTTTTGTTTTGTTTTCAGAGTCTCTTACCTTTTTCTCCTCTAGGAAGTCAGCAGAATATTCCAGTGATTTTCTTTTGGTTAAAATCATTTTGTGTCTCGGTTATTTCATTGTTTTGTTTTATTTTAGGTCCAGGGTCAGCCATTAATGGTACAGGTCAGTGGAGGCCAGTTAATCACATCAACAGGCCAGCCAATCATGGTCCAGGCTGTTCCTGGTGGACAAGGTCAAACCATCATGCAAGTACCTGTCTCTGGGACACAGGGTTTGCAGCAGGTTAGTGGTCTAAAAAAATATTGCTTAGAATATCAGATTTGCTATTTTTAAAGAATAACTGTTATAATTGATGCTACATTCCTTTGCTTTCTCCTATGTATCAGTACTCAGTATTCTACCTGTACCATACCAGTAATAGAAAACAGCTGTACAGAAATTGGACATCTTTAAAAAGGACTGAGATACTAAGCACAATTCTGATATATAAACAAAATGAGATATTAGACTCCAGTACCACCAAAATAACTCATTACTGTGTCCTTTGAAGACAAATCTAGGGAAGAATATAGTTTGCTTTAGAGATTGTAGTTTGGGTCAGAAATGTTAACTTTACATTTTTTTCATGTAATTTAAATTGTGAGCTATCTTACAAGTGATGAACAAAAAGCATTTCAGTCAGAATCCACTGCATGTCTCTAAAGTTACACTTAGAACAGAAAATATAGTTTTATGTATTTTATTTTAAAGGAACGAAAAATAATTATAACCTATAATTTCTTAGGAAATTAGGAAAAGAGCGAAAAGGTTAAAATTAATGAAGTACAGAACTAACAAAAATTTAGAATGTTTGGTTAAAATTCATTCTTTAGGCAAAGCAGTTCAATAAATCCCCTGGAAAGATTTTCAGAAACAAAACAAGTGTTTTAGATATGTAAGAGAAAGACACAGGAGATTAAAAGAAATTAAGGATGTTGGTGCAGCAGTGTGAACTTGGAGAAATTTTTATCTGAATCTAAGTTGGCAAATACATTAAGAGTGATTTTAATGCCAGAGGTAGTGTGGAAGAAACCAAACCTTTTTGTTTACCTTTTTTTCCCCCAATTTTAAATTATGACTTTGTTTTGGGAAGGTTTCTCATTAAATATAAGCTTTTGACCTTGCTTCTGGTGAGACTCGCAAGGGGTAGGAAGGGAGGAATGTGTGGAGACATTTGTGACAGTATACAGGCAACAACAACAAAATGATGCCCTGACGATTCATTAATAAGAATAAGGAAATACTTGGAGAAGCTATACTATATCTATGGAGCTTTATGATACTGTTTCAAAGGATAAACTGTTGGGACTGGAGTGATAGCACAGCGGGTATTTGCCTCGCACACAGCCAACCCGAGTTCTATTCCCAGCATCCCAGAGGGTCCCCTGAGCACCGCCAGGAGTAATTCCTGAGTACAGAACCAGGAGTAACCCCTGTGCATTGTGGGGTGTGACCAAAAAAATGAAAGAATAAACTGTTGATTTGTGGGTGTTAATGTTGAAGGGTTTTTGTTTTGTTCTTTAGGGGCTACACCCAGTGATGCTGGAGATTGGAATGTGGCCCCTACATGTTTTATGTGCATTATCAGCCCTTTGAGCTTACCCTCCTACCCAGTATTGAAATTGTTTTAGTGAAAAATAGCAGTTACACATGGTCTGTGATTTTTATCTTTGTAATTAGTAGCAAAGTTTCCATATGTATGTGTATGTTTATGCCTGGAAAAGAGGGTGAAGAGTATGCATTTGTAATGTTGTAACTGGAAAATAATGATACTCATTTTCTGACCAGATTTCATGTAGGTTGAAGTGGTTCACAGATCTAGGATTTTTTTTTCTTTTATTAAATTTTCTATATGTATTTGAACTTGTTTTATTTTCCAGTTGAATCTTAGGGGAAATTTCTTTGGAATGGGGGGAATGCTTAAATGGTAAGAGCATTTTTCCAAAATAGAGTTGTAATTAGGATTAAAAGTAGTTTCCATATTTCTCTGCATGAGACTTTTAATATATTTTCAGTGTGTGTGTGTGCTCTATTTCATTTCATGCTACTGTTTACTTTCTACATTTCCTCCTAGGTATTCATTCTTCCCTGTTCTTAAATAGAGATAGCATGATATAGTGGTTTTCATTCTTTTTAAATTAAGGGCTGACACCTAGATGCCATTCCACAGACCATGATGATAGGGGTGTAGGACCAGTTTGCTGTGAATGCAGTGACCTGACTTTTATTCCCAGGATTGCTGTATGCTGGTCTTCGCCAAATTATCTGTCAATTTTCTTCATCTCCAAAATTAATTTATAGCAGGTGATTTCTAGAGTTTAATCCATTTCTAAAGTTTTTGTGCAGTTTGGGGAATATTTTGTTTCTTATGTTTTTGTCCCTTTGACAAGATAGGTTAGTCCTCTCCAAACGAGTGGCTAATAAGGCTGTTTAAAAAATTGTTTTCTGTTAATGTATGTGAGTCTCCAGATACCCCTTTTTCAGTCTCCTTTTATGAGTTTGTCTCGTTAGTGTTCTTTAAATGACCTTTTCTTTTTAGAAGAGTACATCTTACCCTTTATTGGATTACAGTTTCCAGAATTTCCATAAAACTTGCAAACTCTTAGAAAAGGTTCAGATGTTCAGATCACACACAAAACTTTGGTATAATTTTAGATTAATTCCCTGAACTTGTAATAGACAGAGAAATTGCTAGAGAGCCAAGAAGTACTGGGAATTTGCAGTAGTATGAAAACCAGTGAGAAAGTAGTTTTAAGAATAATGAAGGAAAATAAAGTCTACCCCATACTACATACCAAAATTGCTAGATAAACTAACGATTTTTGAAAATGCATACTTGGAAACAATTTCCTTATGCAGTGGAATAGAAAAGGATTTCTTAACAAATGAAAGACAAATATGGAGGTACTTTAAAACAAACTTAATAAAATTTAAGTAAAGACTAAATACAAGGTATATGGGCTTGGAAAATTTGGGTGGGGGGGTAGTTGGAATCATACCTGGTGGTGCTGAGGTGTTTCTCTTGTCTCTGTGCTCAGAGATCATTTCTGGTGGGCTGGCTCAGAAGAGCCTGTGGAGTTCAGGTATTGAATACATGTTGGCCGCATGCAAGGTAGCATTCTACCCACTGTACTATAACTCCAGCCCCTGGGGAAAATATGTTTTAACATATTGAAATATATCCAGAGCACATAGATATGTATGTTACTATGAAAATAATGATAGAAAAATGGGTAAAGAATCTGAAAAGATGAAAGGGGAAATCCCAATGTGCGATAATATCTGAACTCAGGAAATAAATTTGAAAAACAAGGGTTATTCATTTACTAAATATATGCTAGCTGCAGCTGGTTAGGTGTTTGATAAAAAATAATTAAAACGTAGGCAGTGGATTCTGGGAAGATAGTAAAATCGGGTACAACGGCAGAATCTCTGGTTCAGCTACAGTAAATCTTGTCATTGACAGGTTCTTGAAATTATAAGTAGAAGGATGTGTGAGGAATTTCATGACTACTAGCACAGTATTTGCTGCCCCAAACCCCTCCTACAGACATCTATACGTGGTTCCTAGAGCAGTTTGCACCTAACTTTCATGAGTAGGGATGGGCATAATAGATGGGCCCTGTCCTCCAAGTATTGGAAATTGTTTACTATAGCTTCTGATCACAGGTAGGAAGCAAAGCCATAATTGTATTTGTCTCCATTGCATAAGCTCCTACTTCTTCAGTTCAGTATAGTGACTTCTGTGAGATTTAAAAGCCAGAGTCTCCATTCTTTCCTCCCTACTATTTTTTTTTTCATTTTCCCCTTTGGCACCAAACATTAGAAACTATGATGATCAAAAATAACTATATGTGTGGGGAAAATTAGAAATTGAAGAAGGTTCATGCTCAGGAAATATATCTGGCTAAGAAAAAACTTAGGAACACCTTAAGTTTATTCCTTAGGTTGGTAGGGGAAAAAAAGCAGTAACATAACAGCAAATCCTGGAGAAGAATACAATTTTCAGTTACCACATTATTAGGTATAAATGGCCATTTCCAGCAGAAAAAGGTATAAGAAAGCATATAAAGTTTTTGAAATTACAGCCTATTCAATGGAAAGAAACAAAACATCAAACAGCTTGAGAAAGATTACTAGTAAAGTATTTTGAAATAATTGTCATAAGCTATTCTCAACTAGAAAGATGTGGAAAAACAAAATAAGATCAAGAAAATTTTTTTAAAAACCTTAAAAAGTGCTAATACAAAATTTTTAGTGGAAATATCTAAAGGCAGTTTTCAATAAAGAAGCATTAACTGGAAGATAGGTCAATGGAAATGACAAAAGCTGAGAAACAAATTAATTTTGATTTTTAAAATGAGAATATATGGGGCTAGTAGGATATTTGTAAATGATCAACATACCCATCATAGAAGATGCAGAAATAGAGGAGAAAGATATGAATAGAGTAAAGGAATAGCTAAAATATTCATAATTTTTATGTGGGATATAAGCGTACACCTAGAGATTCAGTTGGGGAAGAATCCATCACAGTTATCATTCTGTGTTAGTTATAAGTTAATTCCGCATAATACATTATGCGGAAGACTATATATATACAGGGTGAGGATAAGAAACATTTTAGAGACTGCTGCACAAAGTTTAACAGAGGAATTCTAAAGTCTTTATAAAACATATCCAGTGACTTATGTTTCCAAAAGGAAAACTAGAGAAAACCAAATGTTAGAAGAATGAATATAAGTATAACTTGGTGTGATACTTTGTACCACTTAAAATTAAACTAATTATATTTCAGTTGACTGTTTAAAGCACTGTCAACTAAAAAGAAACACATTAGAAGACGATAGAGTATTCTGCCACGTAGGAATTTTGTAGACATTTTAAAGCAGTACCGTATAATTTTATGAACATCGTATATAAAATGTTCCAGAAAGTTGGGCACCAATTTTCATATTAATAATGAATGACCTGGGGCTGGAGCAATAGCACAGCGGGTAGGGCATTTGCCTTGCATGCAGCCGACCCGGGTTCGATTCCCAGTATCCCGTATGATCCCCTGAGCACCACCAGGGGTAATTCTTGAGCACAGAGCCAGGAGTAACCCCTGTGCATTGCCGGGTGTGACCCAGAAAATAAAAAATAATAATAATGAATGAGATGGTAAGAAATTGTTAAAAGCATGATCCAAATATGGCAGAATGTTAATGTGTTGAATCTGTATAGTAACTGCTGAGGGGTATTTAATACTATAATCTCTAGTTTGTATGCATCAGAATTTTGTATATACAGTTTACTGGGTGCTTGCATAGAGTTAGGAAAGCTGGAATTGTTTTTCAATGTTGCGTTAAATTTCAAACAAATATAATGAGAATGGTATGATGAATTCCTATTAGCCAACTTTAAAACAGTCTATTTTAATCTGTATTTCTCAAAGATTATTTTGTGTACTTGTATAGTTATGATCCTGTGTTTTTTTCTGCTTAAAAAATCTCTAGATATTTTTTTAATGTGCATGCTGAAGAAAATAAAACCCATTGGCCAGAGCAGTAGTACTGTGAAAATAGGGCGTTTATCTTGCATGCGCCTAAATCAGATTTGCATGCGCCTAAACCACATTCAATCCCCAAGCACCCTCTGGTCCCTCAAACCCTCCAGGAGTGATCCCTGAACGCTGCTGGGTGTGGCCAAAAATAAAAGAGCCCAAAATAAATAACACCATTCCTCTTTTTTCTTTTTTAAAATTTTTTTTATTAAAGCACCAGTGAATTACCACTAAGTTATTCATAGTTGCCATTTTGATGATAGATACAGTGTTCATCACCAATTCCTCTACCACAGGCTGTTCCAGATTCCTTTTCCTACCCCTCCTACCCCCCTTTTTAAATTTGGTCATTAAATTTGGGTCTCGCTAGGCCGGAGCAATAGTACAGCAGGTAGGGCATTTGCCTTGAACTAGCCAACCTGGGTTCAATCCCCGGCATTCCATATGGTCCCCCGAGCACTGTAGGGTGACCCAATAAGCCAAAACAAAAAAGTTTGGGTCTCACAATTTCATGTTGTTGACTCTGGTTTGGATATTTAGCTCTACCGTTCCCTAACAACACTGATGCACCTGGGTCCTTTATTTTGAACTGAACTTTAATTCTTGAGTGTTGTCTTTCTGGGCAGTGATCGAAATTCCCCCATTGTTTCATGACTTACGTTAGAGCGTACTAGAAAGCATTCTGTATCTTTCTTGTTAGGACACTTCAGGCTTTCTAGAAGAAAAACTGACCAAAAGAGGGCAGTGTCCACAGGGTATTCTTTGTGTTCTTTTCACAGATCCAGTTGGTCCCACCTGGCCAAATCCAAATCCAGGGTGGGCAGGCTGTGCAGGTGCAGGGACAACAGGGCCAGACCCAGCAGATCATCATCCAGCAGCCCCAGACCGCTGTCACAGCAGGCCAGACCCAGGTAACTTGGGTGGTCAGTTGGCGTAGGAGCTTGACCGATTCGGAAGCTTCACCTGTGGTAGGAATGGAGAGTAAAGATCATCAAGAGTTCTCACAAAAGGATTGTATAATCCATTTCATTTTTTGCAGCAGTGTCTTTGAATTAATATTCTCTGTTTCATTTCCTGCAGACACAGCAACAGATTGCTGTGCAGGGGCAACAAGTGGCCCAGACTGCTGAAGGGCAGACCATTGTCTATCAGCCAGTAAATGCAGATGGCACCATTCTCCAGCAAGGTGAGTGTGCTCAGTCGTTTCTATGGTACTTGTTGGGCTGTCTCTTTCATCCTTTAACCGAAGAGTTCTCTGATATTTAGACCTCTGTAAGACATAATTTTTAGATTAAGGTAAAAAATTTACTCTGGCATTCCATTATTGCTTTCTGATGTTACTAGTATATGATCAAACTTGGTTCAATTTGTAGGATTTTAACTACAGTGGCAATGCTAGAACATGCTGGTAGTTAGAGTTAGACTAACAGATGAGGGAAAGCCTCCAGATTCTCTTTTCACATACTGGAAGTTTTTATGGGAACTATTGTTAGAATATACCCACCTAACTGGAAGTGTCAGTTTTAACAACAGCTTGATTCAGAGATGAAATTGAGAGTTAATAGAATTTTGTTGCTATTACATGGATTATTTACAGCAGAGAGTGCTTTTTCTCCCCTTGCGCTTGTGTTCCAGGGTGAATGAATTTGTGCCAGACAGAAGAGGGACTAACTGTATTCCCTTCTTTCTGTGTGCCTGTTTTTTGTTTGTTTTATATTTTATTTTCTTAAAGTTACAGTCCCTGTTTCAGGCATGATCACCATCCCAGCAGCCAGTTTGGCAGGAGCACAGATTGTTCAGACAGGAGCCAATACTAACACAACCAGCAGTGGACAAGGGACTGTCACTGTAACACTTCCTGTAGCAGGCAATGTGGTCAATTCAGGAGGAATGGTCATGGTAAGAAAAATTCGCTCTTCAGCTCATGTTCTCACTTAAAAAAATTTTTAAAAACTTCCTGTCTGATAAAGCTCATTCATATTGTCCCAGTAGGATTGCAGTTGCTCCTTACAACATTTACAAAGATCTACTTTTGCAGTAAATATTAAAATCATAGTTTGTTTTTCAACACCGGGAATTATTCTTAGGTCTGGGAATTTAGCAGTGAACAAACATGAAAATATATTTGCTTTCCTGTGGCCTTTCTTAGAATTCAAGTAATGAAGGGTAGACAACCAGATGGGAAGTGGAAGATATTTTTTCAGTGTAACATTGAATATGCTGGATAAGGGGAAGATTGTTGGCTGTGTGAGTTTAAACTTTCAGAATGATGTCAGCCAAGGATGTAGCTCATTGGTAAGGCCTAGATTTGATATTTGGTACTGCCATAAAACAAAACCATCCACATAGAAAGGGGCTGACATTGTACAGTAGTGAAAATCAGTAAATCAGTAGTGGGTAGTAGAAATCTGCGCTGAAGGGGAGGGAGGAACCTTCTGTCTCTTCTGACAGAGCAGATTAAAGTTGGGAAGAGGGTGGGGCACAGGAAAATTTGACTTGGATTGCATAGTTAATTATTTAAGTCATTTAGGTAACTATGGTCATTTATTTAGTATTTCGTGGACCTTTTTACTTGCTGTCATTCAATTCCTCTTCCCAACCGTTAGATGGCAGCACATGCTAGAAAATGGAGACATGGAGAATTTGAACCTGGGGTGACATTTTTCATTTTGCTCCTTAAACAAACTGGACCAAAATAAATCCCCTTTCCAGAATCATCTGGAATATGTACTTGATGTACATGGCTTTCATGTAGAAAAGATAGCACAATGGCCAACTCAGGTTTGATCCCCAACACCATATATGGTATGCTCTGAGTACAGCCAGGTATGGCCCAAAATGTTCCCACCTCCAAATATCAACCATTGGTGTAAATGTTTATGGGAATCCTCATTTAACTAAGAGCCCTATACAAGCTAAGTATTATAGTATTCAGGAAAATAAATTAACAGTGAGCGTAAAGTTACTTTCTGTATCTCCATACCACTATTTAATAAAGTCTGATTTTCTCTTCACACAGATGGTGCCTGGTGCTGGCTCAGTACCTGCTATCCAACGAATTCCTCTACCTGGAGCAGAGATGCTTGAAGAAGAGCCTCTCTATGTAAATGCCAAACAGTATCACCGTATATTGAAAAGGAGGCAAGCCCGGGCTAAATTAGAGGCAGAAGGAAAAATTCCAAAGGAAAGAAGGGTATGTCTAGCATTAGATAGCTATAGAAAGGGAACAGCATAGTTCTACTTTCGAAAGTAGCTTTAATGGTTTGCTTCCTTCAGCATCTTCTAAGCAATCAAAATCAGATAGCCGTCACCTATTGTGAAAGTTCCTGTTCTTTACTGTTGTATACCACTACAACTTAACAAAAACTACTGAGCTTAAAACTACATTTTTTTCCCTGCAAAAAAATCAGTGACAGAGTTTAATTTCCTCAACTGATAATATATTGGCACAATCCTTAAGATCTGTTTTCCATTTTTAATACTTTTGCCACAGTCCAGAGAAGCTCCTTGGGCACTAGCGTAGGAGCAGAGGTGAGCAAAAAATGTGCCCATTCTCTCCAGAAAAATTCCAGGAACATATATATTCATTGGCCAGATAATTACACCCATTTGCAGATGACTCTAGCAGCTGTAACTTCCTTTAATAATTTTACTTCACTTTCGAAACCATAATTACAATACTCTTGGTGGAAGAGTTTCATGTATAAAACGCTTGAGCACCAAACCCTCTACCAGAATATCCACTTACTTCAAACATTGTCCTGTGTCACCCTCATCCTCCTTCCCTTTCCGTCAACTTCACCTATGGTAAGCTTTCTACTAGAAAACCAGATCTTAGTTTCTGTTGCCTTTGGACTTTTTTCTTTTGATTTGGTTTTGTTTTGTTTTGTTTAATCTCACCTACGAGATTCTGTATCTATCCCTCTCCTGACTAGCTTCATTTAGTATGATACTCTCAAGACTCATCTATGTAGTAGCAGATTGCATGATTTCATCTTTTCTTATAGTTGCATCTTATTCCATTTAATCTTTGTGGTGCATCACTCTCATTGCTGTAAGCTGATTTCATGTTTTTATTTGCATTCCCTTGACAATAACTGGCACAGAGCATTTTTCATATACCTACTGGCAATTGTAGGTCTTCTTTGAGGAGGTGTCGGTTTATGTCTTGCGCCCCGCCCCCCCATTAAAAAATTTATTGATGAAGTTTGTGGTTTACTGTTAACAGAGGTTTGTCATACACATAATTCCATTACCAAACCCATCACCAGTACATCCATCTCCCTCCCCCCAAGGACCCCAAAGCCACCAATTCAGTTATGTAGCTTAATTCAACATTATGTTGCATTTCGACCTTTGTTCCTATCTTTGTGTATATCTTTCAGTGATACATAAGAGAGATTGCTACATAAGAGAGATTACTCTATCCCTTTTGTCCTGACTGACATCACTCCGCATGATACCCTCTCGTTTCATTTATTCCTTGTCAATGGTTTAATTTGGTCCTCATTTCTCTTTTGTTTGGGGTTTGGTTTTGTTGGGGGGGCGGGGAGTGGGGCACGCCTGGCTCTGCCCAGGAATCTACACATGATGTGGTAGAGCTTAAGGTACTGACCAAATTGTGCCAAGCTTGAACCTGGGGGTCATCTGTGTGCAAGGCAAGCACCTCACCTGCTATACTATAGCTCCTGCCCTTTTCATCGTTTCTTTTGTGGTACAGAAGCTTTTTAATTTGATGTAGTCCCGTTTGTTTATCTTCTGTTTGCTTGGCCAGTAGTTGAATCATTGAAGATCATTCTAGATTCAGTTTAATGAAGTCTCCCTCGATGCAATTTTTAGACTCACATCTAATACTAAGATCTATGGGCCATACCAGTTGTGCTTGGGGCTTACTCCTGACTGCTCTGGAATCACTCCTGATGAGGTGGACCACTTCAGTGGTGCTGGCAAGTACTCTAGTTAGCCGCATGCAAGGCAAACACTTTGTACATAGTACTGTCTCTGGCCTGATATCAAAGTTTTTAACTCATTTGGATTTGACTTTTGTGCATAGTGTGACCAAAGATTCTTGAGTTCATATTTTTGTATGTAGCCCTCCTTTTCTTGCTTTCTAGTGGAGTGTTTGCATTGCTCTGAATTTTACCTTTTAATACTACTTTTGTTGTGTCCTGTATTTGATAGTAATTTGTATCTTCATTCTCATTTATTTCCAGGAGTCTTAATTTTCTCTTGGGCCCCACTTTTTTTTTTCAGTAGTAATTTGGGGTTTTTTTTACCTTTTCTGTATATGATTCGTTTTTATCTTCAGAGCATCATGATCTGAGAGGATATTTGATACCATTTCTGTCTTGATTTTATGATGTGTTTTGTGTCTCAGTTTGTGATCTATCTTGCTAGTGTTCCTTGCCCTGGAGAAGAATGTTTACTGAAATTTTGGCGGGGTGGGGGGGAGGGCGTGAAGAGTCTTATATATATCTTCTAGGCCTATTTGTTTCTTCAAGGTTTGTGTTCCCTGGCTGAGTTTTTGCCTATATGATGTATCAGCTTCTCCAGACCACCAGCTAACAGACCAGAAAGGAACCAGATGGAGCCCTAACTTTATCTTCCACTGATGCAATGCTGAACAGCATGGCCACATGACTTCTGTTACTTAAACTTAACACTGAAGATATAAGTATCCCCACAGAAGTCAACAGTCCTGGAGTACCAGTTATTGAAGCTAGGAACTGACTCACTCAGCACACACAGTTGTGATTTACAAATATTCACCATAGAACAGCAAACACAATGGGGATATTCCCACCAAGCCCAAGAAGTAAAAACAATAGCCTAGAAGGCTCTACAAATACAAACTAGCTCTATTACATTTTAGATAAACAAGTTAGGGATGCTATGATATAGGTGTTTAATAACCAAAAACAGTTATAAGAAAGTATGAGAGCAAAAATGAGAAAAATACAGCCAGAAGTGACCCAGAACCTGATGGTATGTGAAATAAAAATGTGAATGGAATGTCTCAACAACATTTGAGACATTCAAGAGCAGAAGTAAAAACTGATGATGAACTCCAATACGGAGTGCAGGAAATCTCTAGAAAACCAAAGAATGTCTAATAAGTAGTGAACTGTATGCCAGAGAGCTATGGGGTGAATTCAGTAAAACAATATAAGAATTATTGGCATTCCCAAGGAACAGGAAGGATAATTGGATGGAGAACCAAAAGTTTAAGATTTTCCCAAGTGTTGAGGGGTACATGCACCCAGATTCAAGAGGCCATAAGAGTTCAGCCAAGACACAGTGCAGTCAAAATGACAAAAGATGGAGACAGAATATTATAAGCAGCAAGATCAGAAAAGGAACTCTGAACTCCTGTAAGAGTGACAGATCTATCACATGAGACTGTCCAGGCCAAAAGATAATGGTGGGATACAGTAAACAAGCTGAATGAAATGTTCACTTATCCACATAGGTTATCACTCAGTTTTGAAGATTAATGCCAATTTCTATGGATAAGCAACAGCTAGGGAACTTCAGAGCTTCAAAACCAGTTTTTCAAGAAGTATTAAATGAGCTTCTTTAAAAATGACAGCAGCAGACAGGCAAGTGGGTGCTTTGGAGTCTGGGTGTGGGCTGAGGCTTTAGGCTGCAATTCCATTTTCAGGGGTTCCAGGCTAGACCCATAAGAATCCAGCTCAGGTGCATCATTTGCCAGTAAAATGGCAGGATTGGATAAGCCACTGGGAAGCAGGCAGGCAACCAGAGCCTCGGTGTTCTTTTTTGTTTTGTTTTTAATTGAGCAGCTGTGTATGAGTATATCCTGTATGCTATGTAACTGTTATCTAGTGTTTTCTACAAAACTTCCACTATAATTTGTCATAATTGCCCTTATGGATATTGATCATAGCTGGCCATAACTTCCACGGTGTGGGGAGCTGAATCATGAAATTTGCTTTACTTGCTGAACCATATCTCCAGCCCTGTCCTATACTCCAGAGGATGGGGTTTGTGCTTTAGATCATTGTACTGGTTTCTAGTTGTAAACGGTTTTATTTCTCTCATTTTAGAAATACTTGCATGAGTCTCGGCACCGTCATGCCATGGCACGAAAGCGTGGTGAAGGGGGACGATTTTTTTCTCCAAAGGAAAAGGATAGTCCCCATATGCAGGTAAGGATATTTAAACCTTTCATTCTTTTTTTTAATTATTATTTCTCATCCTCTTGACATTTTTTATACCTGATACAAATCACATTCTGAATTCAATACTAAATTGTCTCTTAGGTTCCTTTGAATGGTAATCTTTTATTCAGTGGTCTTCTGATCTTTGGCATTTATTACAGTTAATTTCTTGTTAAATGTTCTTGCTTGATTTTCAAAGAACAAATGTATTGTCTTATTGTAGAAGCTACTGCTAACTCTAGCTGGTATGTTCCAGCCATTGTACATTTTGTTTTGTTTTGGGGTCAAAACTGTTGGTATTGCTAGGACTACACGGGGTGTCAGGATTTAAGTGGGATTGGCTATATACAAGTTGAGTACCTTCTGTACTCTGTTTCCCACTCACTTGCCTTCGTAATCCCCACTCCTCTTACTGTATTTAGGCCATACCTTGCAATACATGCAAACCTTGTGTTCATGGGTCATTCCTGGTCAATCCCCAGCACTGCATATGGTTCACAGGGTATGATATACAGGACTGGGGATTGACCCAAGGGTCTAGCCACAGCCACTGTGCTTTCTTGAGCACTTTTCATTTTCATTGACTATAGCAATATCAAGCCCCATCTGGTAAGAATCGCTGTTTCCATTTTTGAAGCTGAGGTTTAGGGAAGCCAAGCAGTTTGTCCTAAGATAAACCTCAGCTTCAAAACATAAAATTGTTTAAAAATATTAAAATACTTAAAATTGTTGGAACTGGAATTAAAACCCTAGCAGTATAGTTCCAGATCTTGCTTTTTACAACTATACTGTGCTAATTTTTACATCTCGTTCTGCTAATTGTATCATGTTAGCATTTCTGAGTTTATATGTACAAAAGAACTGATTTTTTTTATTGTTTAAACCAATTTTGTTCATCTAATCATATTTCCATATACCTAGTTAAGTTAAAATTGCCGTTTTCTCTCCTTTTTTGTAATCATTTTTGAGATTTACAGTACAGTAACTCAGTTTACATTGTATATATAAACTCAAATGCTAATATGATAGACCAGGTAGGGTGTTTGTGTTGCATGAGGCACTTCATGGGGTCCCCTAAGCCAGCCAGGACTAATCCTTGAGCTCCCGCTGGGTGTCATCCAAAAGCCAAAAAAGTGATCTTTCTCTTCTGTGAATATATAAATTTACAGTACTTGGATAATTCTGTTAATACATTTCAAAATTAATGTGAAGTAGATAATTCTTCTCACTGTTACTGTCCTCCCGTTGTCCATCGATTTGCTCGAGCAGGCCCAGTAACGACTCCATTGTGAGACTTGTTACTGTGTTTGGCATATGGAATACGTCACAGGTAGCTTGCCAGGCTCTCCGAGGGGCGGAAGAATCGAATCCCACTCAGCCAGGCTGGCCGCGTACAAGGCAAACGCCCTACTGCTGTGCTATCGCTCCGGCCAGATAAATCCTACAGATACAAAATTTAGTAAAGTGAGGAGAGGAAAAATAAAATATTAAGATACCATCTCTGAATAGGTATACAAATAAAGTATTTTATATTAAGAAGGGAAGATAGACTACGTTAGAAAATACTGGGGACCGGGAAGATAGAATAGCAGGCAGGGTACTTACCTTCTCTCATTCCAGCAAACATGAATGATAATGTAGCTAGAATGTTAAGTTCTCAGATTTTTTACTTGTTTTTTACTATATCTCACCATTCTCTTCCTGCTTATAAAGACTCATTTTAGGGATACACTCTTTTGTATGTAAGCTTCTTAATTGATCTTGCGGCTTTCATTTTTCTTTCTGAATTAGGGACTTTTGTCATTCCGATTAGAATGTGCCTTGGAGTTTTCTTTTTTTAAGTTGGATCATCGTGAATCACAAAGTCACAGAGATGCTTATGATTTTCAGGCTTACTTTATTTCAGCACTAATCCCGTCATCGGTGTTTCAGTTTGACCTACTTTGCTGAGGCTTTTTGGGACTCTTTGATTTTGATGCCAGCACTCCTCAGTTCTGGGAAGTTCCTATCCCTTATTTCTTTCATATTTCTTCATTGAACTTGCCTTTCTGCTCTTCAGGGAGTCCAATAATTCTTAGATTCTTCCTTCTAACCTCATTGCTGTTTATTTTCCTTGACATTTTTTCCATCTTTTGCTTTCTAGCATTTACTGCATCTCATCTTGGAGTTTCTTGACCTTTTCCTCAGCTGGTACTGCTCAGACCTTCTGTTGCATTGGAGTTTATTTTAGTCACCACAATATTCTTCATTTTTGTGACTTTTGAATTGAGTTTTGTCATTTGCTCCTATGTTTGCTAACTACCCTATTCCATCTTTTGTTTTTTGGTTTTTTGCTAATCAAACTTCCCAGCATGATACCACTAAAGTTCTGAGTGCCTTCAGAACTGGTTGATTCTGGTAGAGCCTTTTTCTGTTACTATTTTCACTCAGTTGAGCTTGGTACTACACATCTTTGCCTTTTGTGTCTGCTGGTGTGCCTGCTATGCTGAGGGTGAAATCATTGTAGTCAGATTTCCTGGGAGATGGAGTGATTGAGCATTGTGTTGTTATTTTCCTTCTCTGTCTTCAACCAGTGGCAGGATATATAAATGTGAATATTCAGAGGAATATTCTGGATATTTTAGGCAGCAAATGGCTTTAAGGAGTTATTTTGCATAGGACCTAGTGCACAATGATAGTTCTGTGAATGGAGGTTTTTGTTCTTGTCCATTGATTTAAAACCCAGCTCCAGGGGCTGGACGGACGGACGGTCAGCGGTCCGTTGGTCCGTCTGTCGCCCGTCCGGCCGGCTGGCTGGCTGGCTGGCTCCAGTCTTACCAACTAACACTGCAAAGCTTAAGTTAGATAGTAGGTAGGTTATATTGAGAAGATTAAATGAGAGTCAAGAAGTTTAAAAGTAATTCTTGATGGATTCCTGGCTGAATTTTGAATGTAGGTCCTGATAACCACTTCGTTCATTGACGCTCCAAGTATACAGAAGGGATACGTTAAAGAAACTTTTCAGTATTCTTTCTGATCCTCCTAAGTTCTTCCTGATCCTTAGCAGAAAAGAGCATAAAAATACAACTTGATATGATAGATCTCCGGATCTTTTTTTTTTTACATACATACATACCCTTTAACCTAAGGATAGAACATAACATGGGTGCTCAGGAAAGAAATGTGTGATACATTAGCTTTGGAGTATGTGTATGTGTAGTAGAGTCCTAAGCCAAACTTGAAGTGACTCTTTTTACATTTTGATTGCATTTAAGTTCACGTGTTCATTTTCATAAGCCTTCGGAAAAGTTGTGTGTATTCCATTGAAGATAAATATTCGGGCAGAAGGTCCTGGTTGATTTTATAATTATTATATTTTCTTTGTCTCTAGGATCCAAACCAAGCAGAGGAAGAAGCAATGACACAGATCATCCGAGTGTCCTAACCCTGGAGCCGGTGATGAAACCGGGTCAAGGTCCTGTTTCTCGCACTGCTTCCCACCGTTCCAGGAAACTGATCGACTGCCAGCGGAACATTGACGATCACAGATCACATTCTGTCTTTTTTTACAGGACAGAAAACACTTAGTTTTTAATAAGTGGCTAAGTATTATATCTGCAGTGATGTCTAGCAAATTGAAGTTGGCAAGCCTTTGTCTCACTCTTTGAGTCAGGACTTCCTTCAGAGTGTTGATGACATTGACATTTCATGGATTAGGATGATGAAAAGGGACCCACGCCAAGCCAACAGTACTATACACAGCACTTACATTGACTGGTAAAGCCAGCCAGCCACTTCAGCAGGGGGGAAATAACCTTCTCAGCCTAAACTGCAATCAGGGAAGATTTAGCCCACTCCTTCCCTTGGAATCCATAATCATCTGTCCCTCCAATGGGGAGCTCTCAGGCTGACTAACTGAACTGAACAGTTTGTTTTCAGAGATCGCTTCCAGGGAAGGGAATTTATCTCATGAAAACAATAAATTATCTTAGATACATTCATTTAATCTGTGGTACTAATAATAATCTATCTGCCCAGATGATAGGGTGGTAATTTTGGACTCCAGCCAAGAACATGTTAATTCTGAGGGGAGAATGAATGATAAAAGACTCAAGCACTAAAAATAGAAATCACTTAATCTCACTTTTTTTTTTTTTTAAGCTTTGATGAGTTGTGACTTGTCTCTAGACAGGTCATTTGGACCATAGTTCTTGCTGTGGTAACATTCAAGAAAACTTAGAGGATATTAAACCATTAGTAAAGAGCAAAACTATACTTATTACATGCTTAAGTGCTGAGCACATTTGTAGTAACTCTTAAGCAGAGAACCAAACTAGAGATTTCAGTCACAGACTTTGTGACAGCATTAAGGAATCGATGGGTTCATGGGTTTAGATGGGTTCATTTTAGAAGAGAGAGTAGTTACAAATGCCTATATGTTGCCATAGCATGATTCTCCCAGTTAGTGGATGCCTGGATTGGATCAGTGAAAAGAAGGGAATTTACATTTCGTATATAAGCACGAAAAGGGAGAAAGGTCATACTTAGTCCTTTACAGTTTCTGGAAAGTACTGTTTTCTCACTTTCTTGGACATATTTCAGGTAGAGTTTGAAGTGGATTTTTAGCTTTGTGACTCCTGTGGCCCTCTTGTGCTTGCCCAGGGAGCAAATATGGCAGCTAAATCTTTGGTGCCAGTTTCCTTGTGTTTGTCTGTTTTTCCACAGGCTTTTTGCAGAAAGGTTTCCACATTATATCCATGCTCTAGGGATAAATTGTATACTAAAAGAGGTCCCTACAGAGTCAGATTCTGCCCAGTTTCCAGAATTGATTGTGCCTCAGACATCTTTTCTAGATGCTGCGTCCTGGAGAATAAAAGTGGTACTTTCATAAAAGAGGCTATCTTCTCGAAATTCAAGGGAAACCTAATTTCTTTTGAAGAATATTTGGATTTGGTTTAACTAGTAAGGTTGGCTCTTTTGTTTCATCTATAATTATATTAATAGAGGGGAAAGCCTCTCTGAAGAAAACATTACAAAAGGGAAAGCATTTTAATTGTAGAAATATGCAAAGGAAGCAGAAAATAACATTTTTTTCTTAGCTCCTGTAATCTAGTCCTCTAACCTGGTTTCCATGTCAAGAGAAGCAGTGACTTTGGTAGACTCAGAAATTTCTGGCTCTTGCATGCATTTCATGTACTAATTTTCCTCAGTGAGTTCAGATGATATAACAGGGATTTATATCCTTTGGTTCATTTAGAAGTCTAAGATGCAGAATTTAGAAATAAAATTCCTCAAACCTAATTTCTAGGACTTAAGCCAACAATTCTAAAATGGTTGTGTAAGTTTGTACATAGTCATGCTAACCTCATTGTTCCAAGGGTTTTTCCCCCATGTGTTTGGAGTTTTGTTTAGAATGAAATGTTTCCTTTTAATTTTGCCACTGCATTTCAGATTGCTCATGACTTTTTATCATGGTCATTCTACACCATTATGACCCACAGAGTAGAGAGTTGGGGTTTGGATTTTTTTGTTACTAGAAGTTCTTTTATTCCTTTGTCCTAGGGACAGTAGTGATGACTTCTTAGATGCAGAGTGAATGGATGAGTGAATAATTGTTCGAAAGCACAGTTACTTCACTTCTTGAGTGCTTTTTTTTTCCAAGAAAGTTGTAAATGTATATATTTTAATTGCTCTGGTACATTGAACATGCCAGTGTCCCTACCACTGGACTAACAGCAATTTCTAGCTTTGGGGTGCCTGATAATAATGTCTTGATTTTCCTTTGGGACTCAACTATATAGGGTTTTTCCCAGGAATAGGAGGAGTACAAGTGATTGATCATTGATGTCATTGCAATTGTTATTTTTTAAAATAAATTTATAAAAACATTAAGAAGTGGTTTGAATCTCAAGGAGTCTGTGTTGCCTGTGTTTTAGGTGTGATAGTTTCTCAGGGCTTGGGGATGGAAATGGGATTACCTCGCCCCTCTTTTTGAGACTGGATGGACAGATTCACATCAAATAGAATAATAGGAAAGGTCAAATTTTAATAACAGCTATACATTAAAAGATGGATTAAACCAGGGTTTCATACAAGGACAAGGAGGGTATTAGTTAACCAGAATTTCTCAGACAACATGGTTACTAAAAAACATGAATGATTCTCTCCCTCCATAGATTAAAAGGAAAAGCAGAGTTTATTTCTAAAATTGGAGGAGACAAATGCTTGCCTACCAGTTCCACATGTCAGAGAGACGTTGGGAATTACCTTTCCTGGATATCTTGAAACAGCTTATCTTATTTACTTTTGCAGAACCCAATCCCACCTTTGAAATTGTGACCTCTGGACAAAGTCAACTTTGTAGGTAGCATGCAACTGATCTGGGTTCAACCCCTGGTATCCGTGCATCACCAGGAATGGTTTTCCTGAGTGCAGAGCCAGGAAGAATTCCTTTTCTCACTGCTAGGTGTGACCCAAAGCCGGAGGGTGGGGGGGTGTTATGATATGGATATCTATACAATGAAGTACCTGACAGGTGTAAGGTAATTTTAGGGGTGTTTTTGTTTGTTGATTTAACTGGTAATAAATCACAAGGAAAATTAGAGCTAGGGAACCATGTACAGACTACAGGAGCCTCTAGCCTTTTCTTTCCAAGCCTGTGATTTTAAAGCATAACGTACATTTTGCCTCACTTGGAGGTTTGTGCCTGCTTTAACCCTTGTTGCTTCTTTTTATTAGTATCTACTAATGGACCAGTATTTTGTGGTGTGGTCAGTAGTATGATGTGGGAATATACAGGTAGAACACTGGACTGACACTTCTGTGATTTGAGGATAAAAATAGCTTCCTTCAAATCCAGTGTTCTTTGTTAGGTTTTAGTCTGGTTGATCTCTCCACTGGTGGTAAAGTTGTCTTGATCTGCAGATACTATTGTATTGCTGTCAGTATCTTCCTTTGGGTCTATCACCGGTTGCTTTAAATATTTCGATTTATCCCTCAGGTGCATGAATAGGAATATAAGTTCTCTGTGGTGTACATATTCCTTGATTATTAAGAAATAAGCGTCCCAGTTGCTTATAACAGTTTAAGACTTGAAATTTGTTGTTTGCTATAAATATAGCTACCCCAGCCTTTTGCGGGGGGAGTGGGGAGGCATACCTGGTGGTGCTTGGGATTGACTCCTAGCTCTGCACTCAGGGCTTATTTGGCGTTGCTCAGGGGACCATATGATGTGCAGGAGATGGAACCCAGACCACTGTGCAAGGCAAACATCCCACTCACTATAAATTGTTTTTATTAAAAAACCATGGTTTACAAAATTATTGATAGGTTTTAGGCATACAGTATTTCAGCACCAGTCCCACCAGCAGTGTCCACTTGACTCCATCCCTGTTCCTATGCTCCCTTTTGCCACCGCCACCTTAACCTCTGCCACCTTGACTGGCATGTGATTGTTGTTTAGATCTCATGTTTTCAGTGTTGTTGAGCCTGTGCTTTGGTCTTACAACTATACCACTCTCTCACATCACATCATAATTGAGGCCCTCCGGTCCATGTTCCACCAGTGCTTGCCTTTCTCATCTTTTTTATCCCCTTTAATTTCTTTCCTACTAAGTCCTTTTCTTACGTATACTCAAGACTGATACAGGCATCTCCCCTTTACTACATTACATTTCATCCGGTTACTCTAAATACCACAGATAAGTGAGATTATTCTGTTTGCCTTATTTTGTGGCTTACTTCGTAACATAACTCAATTCCAGCCACTTTGCAGCAAATTGCATGGTTTCATCTTTCCTTGCAGCTACATAGTGTTATGTGTTTGTGTGTGTGTGTGTGTGTGTGTGTGTGTGTGTCTTCATAATCTTCATAATCTGTTCATCTGTCAATGGAAATTTAGGTTGATTCCACATCTTAGTTATTACATTAAGTGCTTCAATGAATAATAATGTGCATGTTTCCTTTTGAGAGTTTCTGTCCTGGGGATAGATGTCCAAAAGTGGGCTTGCTGGATCAATTGGCAGCTCAATTCTAAGTTCACTGAGAACTCTCCATCCTGTTTTCCACTTGGATTGAACCAGACAGCATTCCCACCAATAGTGGATGAGAGTTCCTTTTTCACCATATGCCCACCCACATAGATTTTTCTCAGTGTGTTTGGTAGCTGTCGTTCCCACAGTGCAGATGATACTTCGTTGTTGTCTTTAATTGTATTTCCCTAATGCTAAGTGGTTTGAGCACTTTTCCATGTGTCTACTTAGTATGTTCCTATCTTAAGAAGCATCTCTTCATTTCCTCTTACCATTTTTTGATGAGGATGTTTCCTCCTCGCTCGGTATTGGGAGATCACACGTTTCTAAGAATCTCTCCATTTCTTCTAGGTTCTCCAGTTTAACAGCATATACAGTTGTACATAGTAACCTCTCAAAATATCAAAAGATTTCTGGTAGGTCTTACAGAGTTACAATTTCTCCCCTTTTGTCTCTTGATTTGATTTATCTAGACATTTTCTCTTTTTCCTTGTGCCTCTAGCTAAAGGTTTGTCTTGTTTATTCTGAAGAACCAACCTCTGGTTGCATTCTTTGAACTGCTTTCTTGGTTTCTATGTAGTTGGTTTCTGCTCTAGTTTTTATTATTTCCCTTGTACTTTTTGGGCTTTATTTGCTGTTTCTTCTCCAGATATTTGAGGTAGGTGTTAGATTATTGACTTGGGCTTTTTCTTCTTTCTTAATGTAGGCCTGCATTGCTATGAATTTCCCCCTTAAAACAGCTTCCCTGTTCTAATCTATCTCTTCTTCTTCCCACTCAGTTTCTTTCCTTCTCCTTATCCCCAGGCCAAAGGTGATTTAGACACCCCCCTCCCGCCCCTTTAAGCCATTTCATTTTCTCATTCAGTTATTCTAAGTACCATATGTAAGTGAGATAATCTTGTGTTTATCCTTCTTCTAGTCCTCCTGTTCCAGTTCTATTCAAGTTGCAGCAAATTGCATGATTTCACTTACTTGCAACTGTGTAGTAGTTTCATTATGTTTGTTTGTTGGAGTTTTTGTTGTTATTGGTTTTTGTGAGTCACTGCAATCCAGCTTTGGGGTCTTGGTCAGGGAAACTTTTATCCTCATCTACTTCTCTACTGTGGCATTGCTGAAGGTACATTCTTTCTTTGATGATCTAGAACACTCATCCTTGGACATTGCTTTCCTACTCTTCATTCACTTGACCATCTCATCATCCTCACCTGTGGATTCCATAACTGAAAGTTGAGACGGATAATGACTGGATTAAATCCCAAAGACATGTGATCACTGAGCACTGCTGAGGAGGTCTGCCAGTGTGGAGGCTCTGTGGGCTCAGCACCGGAGCACAGGCAAAGCCATGCGACACAACGACAGTAGTGCTGCTCTAAGATTGCTGGCCATCAGCATGGCCTGGTAATGTGGTGGTCCCTAGGTCTCACTGAGGGGCCAGAGGGCTACGGCTCTAACTCTATTGGACTCTGGCTCCAGAACCTGACAACAGGTCCCTAATCCTAGTTCTAACTTCACATTTAGGGCTCTTGCATCCTTGCTGGTGTTTTGTCTGATGTACCTATCTAGTAGTTAAAGTGGTGTGTCAAAGTCCTTCAGTACTATTGTGTTTCAGTTGGTTGGTTTGGGATTTTTTGCGGGGGGGGGGGGGGGGGGGGGACACCCAGCAATGCTCAGGGCTTACTCCTGGCTCTGCACTTAGGAATCACTCTTCTGGGGGACCATATGGGATGCCGGGGATGGAACCCTGGTTAACCGTATGCAAAGCAAGCATACTGTACTGTCCACATACCATTTTTTCCAACCCTGTGAATTTGATTCTTTAGATTTGTACTACCCAACCCTTCTAACGAAATTTACCTAAAATAATAATTTTTTTCGTCCTTTGACTTAGATGTATTAGATGTTAGATTGTAGGCTTTAGATGTATTAGAAAGTTAGATTGTAGGCTTTAGAAAGTTAGATTGTTTTCACCTTCTGCATGTCACTGTCTCGTGATTGGTGCATTTAGGCCATTGACATTGAGTGAAATTATTAGTAAGGAGCCATCATTCTGTAGAAGTCATGCATATTACAGATTTTTCTTAATGTAGTCCCTTCAACACTTCCTGCAGAGTTCCTTTGATTTTTGCTGTTTTCGATATTCTTTCTTTGCCTTTTGATATTCAGGTCCTGGTGTGTTGGGGTATGTTTATTTGGGTCTTTCTTGCCTAGGACCTTTCAGGCATCTTGGATCTGGACACTCAGCTCATGATTTCTTTGACTAGTGACTCTTCATTGAAATCTTCTCATCCTCCCGGACTCCATTGATTTTTATGCTGTTTCTCTTAGTTTTCTCATGTGCTATGAACTTATTTTGAGACCTTTTTCTGTCTTGTTATTTTCTAGAGGTTTATTCCACCCCATCTTGGAGATCACTGATTTTATCCTCAACTGCTACTACTCCGTTGCCACGGACTTCCATTCAGTTCATTTCATCTATCAAACTTTTAGTCTGTCTCTTCTAGTTGTAGTTTTCTCATTTAACTCCTCACACTTTTTTGAACCCATGCCATTGTTTCTTTGGTTTCATTAAAAATCCTCAACAGGGCCTACAGAGGAGATGGCATTTGCCTTGCACTTGGCCAACCTGGGTTCAATCCCAGAATTCCATGTGTTTTCCCCAAGCACTGCCAGGAGTGATAGTCCTGAGATCCACCCCCGTGGCATCACCAAGTGTGAGCAAAAAAACAAAAATCCTCAACAATTTATTTCTAAAATCGTTGTCTAAGAGGTAATACTGATTGAGTCGTCCATACTTCAGTCTTCAATCACTAAGCTTGTTGGCGTTCTGGGCTGCTCCCCATTCTGTTGCAGTCCAGGGGTGAGTCTTTGCAATTAC